GAAACCAGTGAAAATCAAGCCTGTTTTGCTCTTCTGTACTACTATGAACTTATGGCCTGACTTTTCAGGTGGAGGAACTTCCGGTTGATTTCATCGAATATGGTCTCAAAAGTCTCTTAAATGTGCAGGAACACAGTCAGCATTGATCAATTGCCCTTAAATGCAGTTGCGTTTGCATTACTCCCCCTAAATACAATTGCAAATGCATTGTCCCTAAAATGAATTCCTTTTGTTGCCACTCTTTAGCGTTTTCACTTATACTGTGTGATTTAATCTTATTTCAATTTAGCCCGTCAGCTTATGGTTAAATATGTGTTCAGCCAAAAAATCAGACTCAAAATCATTTAGCAGATTCTGTATTGTGAAGTGACTTCATATTCAAGTGCTCAGAACTGATCTGTCTGAGATGGACCATGGAGGTTGGGATTTGGTTCCTGTGTTGCCTTGTGCATACCCGAAAGTAGCAACGGTACCTAGATACTGTAATCAGGCCGTTACACCAGGTGGCTGTAGCCTGTGTGTAACAAAGGCAGAGCTCATTCTAGTTTGACGCAAGATAGCATAGAAGATCAAATTTTCCAGGAAGATGGAGCAATGGAAGAGGAAAGGAGAGAATACATAGGAGGAAGACAAGGCCAGAATGATGATACTATTAAATATTAGAATTATGTCCTCCTCCCCACCCAAGCTTTGTTTATTTGCTTATTTGCCAGCTAGAGGTGCTTTAGAAACAGGGGCTTTTCCAGTCATCATTATCTGGAACAAGCAGATATGTGAGCATACTTCCATCTCAGTATAAGTAGTCTTTTTAGTAATTTTAAAACATGCTCCAGTAATTGTGTTTAAAGGTCTTTTAAAATGTAATTTGTTTACCCATAGGCATAAGTAAAGGGAACAGTTTTCTCAAGTGCTTTTGTGTCTTTTTAGGCAATAAAACAACATCAAAAAAGAAAAAAAATTCTTTAGTTCCTGACAAGGGAGATATTTAGTTGAGAGACTAAGGGTGGCTGTGACTTCTTCAGAACCGCAGAATTTTCACTACAGAACTCTTACTCTTTGTTTCACAGAGTTTGGCTGTAAAGTGCTGCACCCCCTCTTGTTTCATGCTCACTGCAGGAGTAGAAGTCTACTGTGTACCCAGAGTAAATGTCATCAAGTCTAATCCTTCTGAGGGCCACAATGTTCAGTCCCCTCAGTTCTCCTTGGGGGAATTATGCTGTCTGAATGCCACTCTTAGGAAGCAATCTGCAAGGTCATTGTACCTAATTCTTGCTCCCCAGTGAAAGGGTGTTAGACTTGAGAAATCACTATGGTATTGATTTATCTTAACAGTATATATTTTGATGGAAGAGAGTTGAGGGATTTACTTTAAAAAATAAAAAAAAAAACCCAAAATCCCAGCCCTTTAGGAGGGACTTACAATGCCATCAATACTATATTTAAGTATTTGTTTCCTTTTTTGCTCTTAGGGCAATGTAACTCTTCCAAAATGAGAACTGCAGCAAGACTTCAGTTTACTTTTTGTATATTGCATAATACTTGGATTTACGTTTATCCTTTTGCTAGATTAATTTCAATTTTTTAGTGATTTTTATTTTTTTAACTTTAGTGAATGTGTTTAATAAACTACTTACAAGAAGGCCTCTGGTATATTAGACTTGTAAATGTTGTCAGGTAGAGTAACTACAAGTAATTAATATATGTTTTTAAGAGTATTGGCATCAAAATGCAAATAGTTGATAGTAAACCAGCTGTGAACTATACTGCTCAGCCCTATCTCAGTGTGCTGCAACTTGCCATTTAAATCCCTGTTTTTAGGGACAGAATTTTAGCATGCTGTAAGTCAGCAGAGGAATAAATAGTCACAAAATCAAGTTTATCCTGCTTTTGATAGTTTCAAAGGTTCACACCTGCTGCACACAAGTTGGTAAGGGGTAGAAGCTTAGTTGAAGCCAGCCTCTTTGTGCCTGACTTTTGAGAGAGTAGGTTGGCTTGTTTCAGAGTGGATGATTAGGAATTTAGGCTCAGGAATAACATTTAATTCTGTTGCAGCCTATGTTGTAGATAATGCTTCTGAGTTTAAGAAAGAAGATGTTTAACATTTTTAGAATATTAACATTATTGGAACACAAAAATTATTAAAATTAATGTTAGAGTTCATCTCAAGACCATGAGAAGTTAAATATTTTGATAACATTTTTTGTCTCATCTTCAATTCCAGTTGTTAACTTATGACATATATTAAATACAAACTAAACACTTTACTTGAAATATCTCTGCAAAAGTTGTGAAAATAGGTTTTTAGAGCTCTTTCGGCTAGCTCTTGGTTTCTTCAAGAAACATCAGATGTGATGGAGCAAATGACTTCTATGAAAGAGAAATACTTATTTACAACTCATACTTTCCATACATCTGTTCTCACTTTCTTTAAGAATAGTTATGAAAATCAGTATGTCATTTTCCTTTTACGCTTACTAAGTTTACATGCTACCTGTAGCTCCTTAAAATTTCTAAGGATACATAAATAAATTAGTGAAATATGATAAAGAGGAATTAATACGGACTGGATTGTTTTTCAGTGATATGTAACAAGTTACTCACCCTTAATATTAAAACTAAGATATCAGTCAGGCTAGCAGAGTGAGTTGGTTATTTTTCAGTAACCCAGAGATTAAATGGGCATCACTGAGCACACAGTATCTTGGCCTGAACATCTGAGGTCCACAGAAATATCAGTGGACCCAAGGCAGAGTTTTTCTGCTTGTATTGTTATGAGCTAGAATTTGTGGCTTCCTTTGCTCTTGGGCATACCCGCAGCTCTGAAAGCCTCAGGATCCCAGCTCTGAAGACAGCTTGGCTACCAGATCCGTATCCCCTAGCTTGGCAAACACCTGTCTGTCCTAAACGTCCAGATTCCATCTGAAAATGCTTGGACAACCTCACTGGGACCACTGAGCATCATCCAGTTTTGTGCTGCCAGTAGTGTAAAATCAGGAAGAGAACATGGACAAGTCCAATATTTGTATGGATCACATACTTCAAATGTGAAGTTCAGAGAACCACTTTCACATGCATAAGATTTTTGTAGCACTTTCAATACTTTGCAGAAGGGCGATCAAATATTGCTTCCCCAGAACTGCTTTTGAAGTACGTTTTCACACACCCTTTGAACACACTTAATGATACTTATAATGTATGTTATACGTAATCTTTGTTTTGCACAACTTCTGTTAATTGTAGCTTTAAAACAGTAACTAGAGTTTTCATGTTACTCCTAAGTGGCAATGAATCACTTCTTCACTTTCTTTGTGGTATGGCACAGTCAATCATCTTGTTTGCTAATCAACGTTTTCTCTCCCCCCCCCCCCTTTTTTTTTGATTAGGCATTTGGAAAAAAGACTAATGTTATTTGAAACAATTACTTCTGCAGTCTAGTACTATTTCTTTCAGCTCTAGCTCTTGTTTACTTTTAATGTTTTGGTACTTTATTTTTGAGGAAATACTAGGGTTCAGCAGAAAAAAACAGGAACAAGAAAAAGTTTGCATGCTCTAGAAACATGAATTTGTTGTAGTAACCAATGCAAGGATGTAACTCTGATGCTAACACTGTTTACCAAAACTGCTTCCCTCTTGTGACAGAGATTTTGCAAAAGGACTTGAGAGACTTGCTTGAAGTGGCTTTTGTTTGTGATCTACTCTGATGTTAAGGGATGTTGGGGTGTTCTCTGGTCTAGCATATAGTTGGAGAGCATAAAAAATGTTAGTCATTGTGCAAAAGATGGAGTTCTGGATAAGCACATAGGGATATAGGAGTAGCCAAGTTTTCGTGGGAGCAGGAAAAATGGATCTCACTGAACTTTAGCTCCAGCCTATTAGAAAGAGCACTTCGCAGTTCAGAATGTGTGATATAGCATAATGGCAGTGGCTTAAATAAAAATATTAAATAAAGTAGTGATCCCATATGAAATTTTAAAATAGGCATAATGGGATTTGGGGAGAGCGCACTGTTTATTCTCAGCTGGTCTGTCAATGTGCCTTTCACAAATTGGACTTTGGTAGAAATACTTGCATCTTTTTTCAAAAAATGTTGAAGCATTTCTTGTCACTTGTCACGTTTGCTCATCATGATTCATCTGATGTTGCTCTTAATGCTTTGCAAGCATTTGATATGGTACTGGGAGCAAAGTAGGCTTTCTGTCATGCTTCTTGCTGCACTGCTCTGGAGTTTGCCAGCTAAACCTCAAAATAAACTGGAGATAGTTCCAGAATACTTTAGTTTCCTGCTTCCAGAAGTCCTCTGATGGAAACTTCAATATTTTAGCTGTTCTTAGCTTTCTCCAAGAAATTGGAGTCTGGAATGGGGAAATCAACTTACCAGCTGCGTGTTGGCCCTCTCCCTGGCCCTCTCCCCTTACCTCAAAGACAAATCTACAGGATTTGAAAT